CCCGGCCGCGGGCAGCCAGCCCGCCGCGGCCGAGGGGGCCGACACCAAGACCTACTTGTGGGCCCGGTACCACGAGATGAAAAAGCTGGTCTACGGTAAGAGCCGCCCCTGGGCGCTGGGATTGCCACGTCCTTCTGGGCTTTTCCTCTCTCCTTTTCTTTCTTTCTTTCCCCTTTGCATCCCGATGCCTTTCTGCGCGCTGCAGAGCTTGAGGTGCATCCGTTGCCTGTGCAGCTGCCAGGAGGCTGGGAGCTTTGTCCCAGGCAATGCCATCTGTGTGCCTCGGTCGCTCCCTTCCAGGGTATCTCTCTGGGCTGATTGTTTCATTTCTCTTGAAATCTGGCCCTGGTCTCCCTTTCCCCATCAGGGACTTTCCTGTGAAAATGCGCTTTTCCTGGGCTCAGTGTTTCAGGACATGCAGAATATATGGGGCTTCTGCACAGTTGGCCCCTCTCAGTTCGGGTATCATCGTGGGGGATGCCCTAGATGAAGGGCTTGTTACGTTTTTCTCTAATTTGCCATTGACTGGCATGCAGAACTATGGCTAGACTGGGACAAATAAGCAATTGTATTGATTGATGTGGTGGAGTGCAGGGTTCAACTTGTAAACCATTGGCCTGAGAGCAGATGTGGAGAAGACCGATGCTGCAGCTGCTGGGATGTTCCCTGATCCTGAACGACTGGCCTGAGTTCAGTTCGTGCTGCAGATGTGAAATGCTTTTTTCTCATACACGCGTGTTGTTGCTCCTCAGACCGAGATGTTACTTGGATCCATCAGGTACGGGATCTCTGACATATTGCTAAGCAAGGAGGAAACTCATGCCACTTGCTGGATCTATCCCAAATAGGATGGCGGTCTTGTGGGCAGCAGCAGATCTTTACTGTATTAAATTCTCAAGATCTGAGACGCTAACTTTAACAGCGTGATGGCAAGGAACTTTTTCTTCTTGATTTGTCAGTTCTTGTAACGTTGAAGGTAAGCACTGTCGAGAGCTAGCTAGCGTGACTTTGTCTCTGCTGTTAGGTAGCTCTCTGTTAGCTTTCTGTTTACGTAAGACCTTGGTAAAGGAAGGCAGGCAGCCTTCGGCCTCTAGAGGAACCATCTTGCTATTCTGAGGTTGGCATGTTCTGTCATCGGTTCCTCCCCACCTCCCAGTACATGAAATTTGACATAAAATCTCGAGTCCTTTGTGACACATGAGTATAAAGAAATTGACCGCTAATCCATTGGGATCCTCTGTCTCAGCCTGCTGTATTCCAGCTTTCCTTTGCCTGATCCACTGAAGGAAGCGCAGTGTGTTGACAAAGTACTGCAGCTTAATGTTAAGTCCCAGCTGTAAGACTGCGTTGTGGTTTTAGCCTTGGTTTGAAAGAAATTCCAACTGGCAAGACTTGCAATGATGTTTGGGCCTTAATATCCTCAAAATCATTTTTCTTTTTCCATAATAGTATAAATGCAGATATGTTAACATCATGGTCTCTTGGCAAAATGCTCACTTCATTATGTGACGGATTGTGGTGTCTGTATTCGCGTAGTTACGATTTGTTGAGGTACGTATGGTACAGTTATTTCTCTAGATGGAGAATTAAATCAGCAGGACTAAATGCAAAATGAAGTTAGATGAAGCAGCCCATTTGTAGACAGAGTGGACTCTTAACAAATCTTCTGGTGGTTATTTGTTGTTACTTGATGTTACCTAATGAGGCCGTCATTTGTTTAAGTAATAGCTCCCCAAACCGAAATTTCAAGACTATGCTGTTTGTTGCTCAAGTCTTGTCAAGAAAAGGCATAAACAAAGTTGGTCCAAGTTGATTTTAGCTGCTGCTTTGACACCTAAGCTGAGTTGTGCCAAATCTAGCATCAATCCATTCCTTTGTTCTCCTTCCTTTCTAACTTTGATGCAAAAGTGAGCTTCTGTGGTTGGATTAGGGTTTTGAAAGGTTGGCTGGGTTGAAAACATTGCCTCCCTTTGATCTATCAACATCAAATTTAAGAAGATCCCTAAAAAAATCTACAGTGCCACCTTCTCCCATTGTCTCTGAAACGCCGTCAGTTTTGGGAGAGATGTCCCAGTCGGTCGAATTTATTATGTATTTTCAAGCCAGGTCTTGCTTGCAGCCTGATTTATGGAGCAATCCTACATTTTTACACAGAGCAAATTACAGTAATAAATCCTGATTGAGTTGGATAGGGAAAGCTGGGAAGAAAAAGCGCATCTGGTTTTTAGTCAGTAAAGCTTAGTGGTAGTGCAGGTTTGGTAGCAAGAGCTGACGCATCAGAAGTTCTCAGCTTTGTAGAGCTGCACTTCTCTATTCTATCCATCCTGAACGTGGTGATGCAAAAAAAAAAAGTAGCCATGTCAAATGTTCTGTTTTTACTTATTTAATACTGTTTCTTTTAGTACGTTGCAGTCCAAACGCTGTAAGTACTCAAAAACTGATTGACTTCATACATGCCATTCAAATAAGAAGGTTACAATAACTAGGTAGTAAAGAGAGAGACCCTAGAACAGTTTGAGAAAGGCACCTCTGGGAAAATGAGCAGTATGTGCTTCAAGGTAAAATCTCCCCTTAGGGTTGGGCCAAGAGAAGTCATTCTCTTCTTTCTTTATTTCCCCTCTGTCTTTTGCAAGACTGTCTCTTAAGACTGTATTTCGTTCCCTGTAATAATTTAAGAATAATTTCACTTAATGTGATTTTCTTTCTCTGCCGAAAGAGGTAGGGGGATGGTGTAGTTCAAGACTTAACAGTATTTTGGTTTGATGATACCCGAAAAGTCAAAGAAGGGTGTTATGTTTTATTAGTAAGCGATGTCAGAAATTGTGCAGTCTAGGAAACGTACAGTCTTGAAACTTAAGGGAACTGGAAAGCGAGTGAAGATTTGGCTGTGAGGAAATTAGTATGTTTTTTCCAGGTCTTTTAAACTTTTAACTAGCTACAACAAATCAGATTTCCTGAGAAACCTTTAAAGTAATTGTTAATGTCTTACCTCCACGCGGCAAGTTTTAGTGAGGTCAAATGTCAGAACTACTGAGGACATTGACAAGTTTGCAGTAAGGATGGTACAAATTTGGTTAGGCATTGGTAATACTAAGGATGTAGGTGAGAGAGAGTTCTTGCTCTTTTTAGTTTGTGAGGATCAAGAGATATCTTTGCGTCTAAATCGAGTTGCAAGCCACAGTCGGTAGCCTGCATCCATCGCATCGGGTACGGTTGTGAGAGAAGACGCTTCTGTGTGGCCAGTCCACTGGTGATTCCAGCATAGTGAAGACATGGCTTTTGCAATCTAGCACAGTTTGATTCTGAATGTGTTCCTTATCTCTAGCAGGCATAAAGATGAAGGACCTGGCTCCCTGCCCTGCAAATCACTTAGGTGTTGTGCATATTTTGCAAGTCACACCATCTACTATGTTGGGCTGGGCTGGGAGATCAGAAATAGCAGCCAGCGCTGGAAGTGTGTGACCGGTTACACTAACTCCTGAATTCTGCCTTCCTAAATGTAAAGGCCTTTGCTTCTAAAGAACAGTTGTACAGGCATTTGTTTAGTGCCTTTGTGAATGTAAAAAATGTAATTTTTGAATGAAGTAATGTTTTTTAGAATTACTTTTGGCTCACGTACTTTTCCTTTGAGGAACCCCCCAAATATTTAGGCATAATTGTTTGAATTCAGAATGGTGCTCCAAAGTAATTTTCAGTGCTCTTTTAACACTGTTCCTCTGTCATTTAATACTCTTTACGTAATACTTCTGTCTACCTAAGCAAAGCCTAGCCTCCTGGTAGAGGTGTCTACTTTGGCTTGTTGAAATGCTCAGAAGGCGTTGCTGTAAAATAGCACAAAACAACACTTCAAAAGGCTGAAGAGGTACTTGGAAGTGAGAAGGAAAAAACTGGCTGTTTGTCTTTAGAAAGCAAGTCGTAGTGTGCAAAGGACCTTTTTGATTTATGAAGACCATGGAAGACAATTGTTGCCATGTGCTTTTTAGTATTGCTCTTTTCCTCACTGGTAAATGAAGGCCAGTCTTGCAAAGCAGTTAGTGCAGATGTCTGCTACGTTAGACTTCTGGGAGTACAAAGGGTGTGAGAGACCTGTGTAAGTTGCCTTTTTCATGTGTTATTCTTAACCAGCATGCTGGATCTGAGAGACTGAGAGAAAATGAGCATTTCCTGTGTGATAGCATCTGTACCTCTGGGAGCTCAGTAAAGCCCAGGAAGTGTTTGGCACCTCCCTGACTGGATCATTTTTTTGAATGAGAAAGGGCCATGTGGTATCTTGAAGTCTCCAGCAGTTGTTCGCCCTTAATTACCTGCGTTTGTTTCCATCTCTGCTGTCACCCTGCGGACTGAGTATTACTACGGTGTAACAATTGTGGATTATTGCCAGGGAAGAAGCACTTGTGCTGTCAAGAGGAGATTCCGACTTAAGCAGCTGTTCACTGCTTCATGCCAGCAAAATGAAGTAGAAGATGCTGTGCGGTTACTTTGCATTTATGTCCAAGCTTAAAAACGGCATGAGATCCAGCTTGCTTTCTTGTGGTCTGACCTTGTTGCTGAGTTTCATCATGCATTATAATTGTGAGGGCGCTGGACGTTGCTGAATGCTATATATCTGCATGGATATGCAGACACTTCCCTAAAAAACAGCAGAGTTGCAAATCAGAACAAATTGCAAGCGTGCAAATTCCAGGGGTTTGTATCTGTTGCAATAGCTCTTTTTTTCCTCTCCTTTCTCAAATGTATGCACACCAGTTCTCTTTTATATCATACTTCCTGGATGAAGTGCTGAGTAGAGAGTGACTAACTATGTAATATTATCTCCCTTTCCAGTTGGGATTCAGAAGTAAAGAGCAGCTGGGATTAACATTATTTTGTAAGATCAAAAACCCGTTTTTTATTTTGTTTTTTCTTGCTGTAATTTGTCTTATCTCTCCAGCAAGCATCTATTTTGGTGTCTTGGCAGAGCAAAAGCTATCTTTCTTGAAGAATGGCATCTCTGTTGGGTTTTGGAGGGTGTCGATTTTTTGATTTGACTTGGTGATTGCCGTGCAAATTGAGGCAAAGATCCCTGGCAGATTATGTG